GGGTTCATATCCCAGATGGGACACAGCTCTTGTTCTCTCAAGCAAGGTGGTTCACTTGTATTGCTCCAGTGCAGTGCCCTGCTGTATACTGTATAAGCAGGTCTCTTGGTTGTCATTGTAAATGACATTTTTGCACTCAGTTGACGTAGCTGGTAAAATAGAGGAATAAAATATCCCTTTTAACTTTTTCCCGAATGAAAGCATTGTAAAGCCACGGCAGTTTTGTTCTTGCTATTTCATCCATTGTTTTAATGGCATTTAATTAAACTGCTCTGGGTTGACTTTTGTAAACTTCTTGTGAGTTTGGAAGCTACTTCAGTTCAAATCTATCTCCCAGGGCAAACTGAACCCAACACAACACCAGACTTTACTACGATAAAATTATTTTGCATGTCTTAAAAGTGAAATTCCAAGGAGAATAAATTATTTCCTAGGTCAAATACCTGATAACGTGGGGCAGAGAGGCGTCTCTTGGATGAGGGTAGTGCGTATTCAAAGTGGAGAGGTGTTTAAGATCTTTTCTAGGACTGTGGGTAGAGATCCTATTTGTTGAGACTGTAGGTGATGTGAAAATCTGATGTGCATGAAATTAATCCACAAAGTACCATATAGAAACTACAGTATACAGTACCATAACCATTTAGGAATCTGTTCTATCCCAAAAATGGACCATTCCTCTAAATGCTCCAATACCAGTTCAGAGAAGTAGACTGTGATTATTTACATAACAGAAAATGTTCCAAAACACAGATCCTAATTTCATTACGGTCACCAGTTATAATATGCAACTTCTCTACAGGTGGGCACTGTTGTTTACTAGAGCTCTTCTGAAAATTAAATGTTTTTCTCCTCCAAAACTGCTGAATGTAGATGAATATGTTCTACATTTCTCATGCACATTTTCTTTGATTTGAGAACAGACGCCCACTGAATTATGTAGGAATAAACAGGTGAGGTGTGCAGTGTAATGTGTTTGTTTCTCTGATCCAGAATGAGCAATCTTAATTATTTTGCTGGCTGGTAGCTAGTAATCTTTAATTACTTACTTATTGCTTATACTTCAGTAGACAAAATTTGCACAAACAATTTTTAGGACATATTTGAGGGAATTGTGCCTTCTCCTGACAAAATATATTATGTAGAAAAGCCACATGTGTTTCTTTCTGTATGATTTCCAGCCTTTAAACAAAAAATATTTTCTCCTCAGCTGGAGTCATTTAGCATGATCAGTGTGACAAAGAAAGCTTGATAAACACATGAAAATTCCAGAATTCCCAAGAAAATGGCAGATTGTCCTGGATAAAACTGAAACTTTCGCTGTAATTGTGATTAAGAAGCTATGGTGACTAAAGATCACTTAACCTTTTTTACAGGCCATGCGTAATTGGCATTTGTCTGATTTTATAGCTCTTATTTCGTCTTCATTAGTATTATTTTTAGTTGTAATAGTAAGGTGTTGTAGCATATCCCATCCAGCAGACTGCACAGAAGACAAGCTGAGCATTATTGTTAATTTGGGGATCTGAATTCATGTTGCATACTTCTGCATTGCACTTAGCTAGTGCTTTTGGGACTATAAGAGCTTGGACAGAGTGTACTGTTTGTTTGGCTGAATCTATTTTGTTTGCTTATTTCCTTTGACAAATGCTCTGATCCACGTCAACTGGCAACTCAACAGGCCAACATTAAGTGCAAGTCTGAGAAAGAAATCGAGTTGCTACGTTAAAGTAAATATTTAATCAATTTATCAAATGACAATAAGGCTAGCACAGCCTGGAGGCAAGTGGAAATACAGTAAGTACCAGCACAAATGTGAATATCTGTCAGCATGTGGTGAGTACAACAAACTCAATATAAGAGGGATATGGGTTTGAGGCATGATTATTGTATTCCATAAAATGTGATGTGATTGTCTAAAGAATGCAAGTCGCTATTTGATCCAAAAGATCTCATCTAGCCATTTCTTGAAAGAAGAAAATGCATCAGCTTTAGTAACAGGGCTTATGAACTTGTTCCGTACTCCCAGAAGTGCCTCCTGCTTTCAGTCCTAATGTACTTTCCTTTCGTTTCCATTGCTCTCCAAGAGTTTCTGAGAGCACGGCTGCCTGAGAATATGGGAAGCCCTTCCACTTCAATGCCCATGAGATTCAGAGAGCACTTTCCCTTCTGCGTTGTGGACAACAAGTTGTAAAGCAGTAAAACTGCTACAGCCTTCTGCAAAACTCCAGCTGTAAACGTTCATAAGGAAATAGATCACAAATTTGTAGCAGCATTTGTTGCAGGATTTCTGTGGCTTTGCCATGGTCTCTGCATGCCTTCACTGCCCACTGCTATGCCACAAGACAATTCTTTCAAATGCATGTTTAAGTTAATATGCTCAGGTCTTCCCATGGGCCAGTGCAGTGGAGCACAGTGAAGGCATATTATAGGTAGGTCCCTTTTCAGGCCATAAAGACCCATGGGGAATGGGGGGTAAGGGCCACCATTTTTCTTGACCATCCGACACTGGAGGTGGAGGTGATGTGGTCAGCATCACGGTCTGGCCGGCCTATTACCTCCAGATGGATTAACCCCCCGGAACTGACTTGGAAACCAGGCTGATTGGACCTGGGAGCTGTCTGGAAGGAATTAGAGCAAATTACATCACTTGCCCCTTCCTGGGATTGAACCCAGGACCTTACGGTCAGGAGCTAGCCACCCTTGCCGTCTGAGCTACCACATCTCGAAGACATAGTATAGCTATAGGAAACAACAGTGGTAAAAGTGGGGGAAAAAACTACAGGAACATTACTAAGGTGAATTTCCATTAGGGTTCTGACAATGGTTCTGCTCAGCTCTGCTGATGCTTCTGTCATCAGTGTTTTAGTTGTAGTATCAGTTCATGACTAGAAAGTATCAGTATACCGTAGGCTGCTTGCGAATTCAACCACATCTGCCAAAGATACAGAGTCACAGCTCACAGAGCTACCCACTCCCCCTTTCACTTGTCCACTGTCATTTCTCTGGATGCTGCATCAGGACTCTTCAGGACATCAGGATGCCAAACCAGATCCAAAAACAATGTATAATTCAATACTAAGCCATCATTTCCTTCTAGGTAAAGATGAAGGCTATTAATATTAATACGTACTTATTAAATATAATGAATATTAATCAAGCACAAATACTTCTGTTGACATCTAGCTTCATGGCAAACATCTACCCAACTGACTGATGGGAGTGTCCTGCAATATTTCACCAGTTTTATCCAAGCACTTTGCTCCAAAACATTACAAAAGACCAATGAGATTCTTCAATCAGTCAGTTGTGTTTTATTCATCTACTGTAGCACACGCAGCCATTTTCTAAACA